CTTCCTAGGGAAAAGGGTCCTGGGTCCTGGGACACGCTCTTTTAAAGCAGGAAGTCCCACCCCTAGGCCCCACCCCCAGGCCATGTGGTCAGGAGACAAAAAGAAAGCCCAGGGAAAAACAAACTCAGCAAGGCATCCATGCAAACGGACCTGGCCTTCGCCCTCAGCCCAGCACCCTAGGGAAAAAAGAGACAGTAGAAAATGGCTACATAAAAACGCCCCAGTGCCTTTCTAAGGGCTTTGATGGAGAATAAGGCTTTTTAGCCTCTACTTCTGCTTCACTGACTGCGCAAAAGGCTTTGACTGTGGACCACAACAAACTATGGCCAGTTCTTAAAGAAATGGGAATGCCTGACCACCTTATCTATCTCCTGAGAAAACTATATGTGGACAGGAAGCAACCGTTAGAACTGGATATGGAACAATTGATTGGTTCAAAATTGGAAAAAGAGTACGACAAGACTGTATATTGTTCCCCTGTTTATTTAACTTATACGCAGAATACATCTTGTGAAAGGCAGGACTGGATGAATCCCAAACCGGAATTAAGACTGCTAGAAGAAATATCAAAAACCTCAGATATGCAGATGATTCCACTCTGATGGCAGAAAGTGAGGAGGAATTAAAGAACCTCTTAATGAGGGTGAAAGAGGACAGCGCAAAAAATGGTCTGAAGATCAAAAAAACTAAGTTCATGGCCATTGGTCCCCTCATCTGCTGGCAAATAGAAGGGGAAGATATGGAGACAGTGACAGATTTTACTTTCTTTGTCTACTGTTTGTACTCTGATCTGATCAAGAGCATATACAGGTCATCTATTTGCACTCCGTATCGGCGGAAGCAAACTTTGATATATGAAAACTCACACTAAAATAGAACTATCCATCTTTGAATGGCTACAATGTTTTATTTTTCTCTGCTTTTGCCAACATTTTTGTACAGTGACTTTGAGAATCCCACCCCACTCGACACCATGGCCAGTCATCAAAAGGAATAACCTTTCCCAGTGCTCTCCAATACCAGTCCCTTAATGAATTGCAATGGTAAGTTCCCCTAAATGTTCTTAATGCCGATGATGGAAACAGCTGGGCTAAGCATCAAGCAACACCCCAATACTTCAGGCCATGCAGAATAACAAGTTACCAGCTGCTACCCTTCACCTTTATGTTACCTTATATGGAAGTTTTGGATGTTCACATTTTTGTATGGGGCTGTCTTCCGCTGACACCACAACAAAAGCCCTTCTTTAGCAGAGGTCTCTAAGGAACAAAAGGTACATGGATTAGCCAACCTCTGGAGCATTTTACCCACTACTCTTGAAAGCTGCCTATTCATTTTAAAATGTTTCAAGCCACTGAAAGCGGATTTGGGCTACTCCCCCCCCCATTTACAACAAGCAGGGAGTGCAACTTGAAACTTCTATGGTAGTCACTTTTAGTTTATTACCAGGTAGTGTACTTATTTGCTAAAACAAAAATGGAAACATTTAGGGTTACCTTGACTGCAAAGGAAATATAAAAAATGATTTAAATCAAACAAAACACAAAAACCAAAGAAACAGACTTGTAGCGAAGAAGAAATGAGAACCAGTGTAGTTGGTGGCTGGACTATGAGACTCTAGAGACCTGAATTCAAATCCCTATTTGGCCTTGGGAAGGCACTAGGAATTGGAAGTGGTAAACCACTCCTTGAACATCTCACAGACACTGAAAAACCTGTTAGCATTCTTGAAAGTCAGAAGCAACCTGATATCACACAGCAATCATAAAAAGGAGGACAGTCATCTGAACCTTCTCCCTACATCAGACATGACAAACAATCAAGCATATATTTAATAATGCCTCTAAATTACAGCAGAGTGGGAAGCATAGAAACAAATACAAAGTAAAGGGTTTTGTATCCTAAGACAGTGAAGATACCACCAGAATCCTATTGATATTCACATGAGATATGTATAACTTGCAGCAGATAATTGTGCCTAATTGCCAAAATACGTCTTAGTCATATACCCTGCCATGTGACCAGCTGCATAACTGAGATGAGTCCCAGAGCATCATAAATTAGCTGCAATGAGTTACGCAACCCATATACGTACTGTACAAACACTAATAGGATTCTATCTGGTAACTCTCCACAGTGTTCTTAGTAACATCTTAAGCACATGTTCCACCCTAGGAGAAGACAAGACAGTCCTCCAGATTAAAGCCATGGCCAATAAGAGTTGTTCCAAACTCCAAACCTACAGCACAGCTGGTGGCTGGTTTCCTTGGACTTGTAGCCCAACACATCAGAGGAATTGGGGATGGCTGGTTTAGACCGTCTTCACATCAATACTTGCAGCTCCAACAGCCAAAGCCAATAGGCTTTATCAGAACCTGTCCCCCTAGAAGCTGCAGGTTCTAAAAAGCCATTGTAGCAGTCTCTCTCTCTCATCCCCCTGTCTCTCTCTCTCTTTTTTTTTTCCAAAACTGACAGACACACAAAAACATGTAGACAGTGCAAAAACAGACTTGCTACTCTGGAAGCCTCTAGGGCTGCTGATTCTCCTTTGAAGTTGTGTGTAACTTCTAGTGTTTTTCTTCCAAAAATGGAAGTAAATTTCTAGCTATTTCCATTTTTTAAAAAATGCCAATTCCATTTTTTAAAAAATCACTGACAGCTGCTCCCCAGAGGATAACATTGGCAGCCCCCAGAACTTGCCTCTCCCCATCAAGCAAGTAGAAATGGTGGGTGATGCTCCAGTGATCATCAGCTTTGATGAACTGATAAGCAACTGCAAGTAGGTTGCACATATTTATATTTAGAAAATCTGCAACATGCAACATATTTATTTATTATTTATTTATTCCACAAGTATTTTTGTGAAGGATGAAGATTACTTTGTGTTTACCTTCTACTGAGATGTCTTGAATAGCAAAACGGAGAATGATGGTCCAGATCATTCCAAGGGTCATTTTTGCATTCCCATCAACAATTTCTGTAAGAGAGAGAAAAATATAAACTGTTCAGTTGAACAACTTAATAACTGCACCAGTACCCATTTAAAGAAAATGTACTGCTAACCTAGCATAGAAACTGAGCAGTTTAGTACTTGTGCATTAATGATCCTCTCATAAAACTTTGAAAGACAGAGGCCCACATAAATCTGTTTGGGGTTTTATCCTGGCTAGGACATTCTTGAACATACAAGTTCAAAAAAGTAAATTTTCCATGCTTTGAGAAATGAAGATTTACTGATAGATCTCTGGGTAATATGTAGTAGATCTTGAGGTAATGTCTCTTAAATATTTAACAACAGTAGCAATCAAATGACTCCTTTCCACTTTTATACTGTGGGAATGACAAAAACTTGGGGATACCTAGGATTTTTGTGTGGAACAAATGCAAATTTTATTCAATCCTTCTCGGACCTTGAAAGTGCTTTACTGGACTTTGTAATACCAGAGGCAGATTCTTGCTTCATCAGTCTAAAGAACATGAGTGATTTGAGAATGAAAGGGCCACTAGCATTTCCCCAAATTTCACACTGTAATGGCTTCCCAAATTAATATATTTCCTCTGCCCTTTGTAATCACCCAAATACAAGTATCAGGAAAGTGGGACTTTAAAATGCAGCCATGATAAACCTCTTGAGATATACAATGATCTAAAGACAATCTAATAAAGATGTCAATGTATTTCCTCCCCATGAGATTAAGCAAAGTTCAGCAATACATAAACAGCTTGGGAACTGGTGCCTATGATACCAACGAGAACGTAATTACACTATACAGTTATAGCAGTTTGATGCTGCTTTAACTGCTAAAGCTCTCCCCTATGGAATACGCAGGATTTTTTTGAAGTACTTTGTAAGAGAGACCTAATGAAGTACTTTGATTTCTCTGCTAGACAGCCCTTAGATCAGTGGTTCCCAACCTTGGGTCCCCAGATGTTCTTGGACTACAGCTCTGAGAAATCCTGGCCAGCACAACTGATGGTGAAGGCTTCTGGGAGTTTTAATCCAATAACATCTGGGGACTCCAGGTTGGGAACTACGTATTCACCTAGATTCTAGCAGAAGACCTCATGGAAGTGCAAATCTGAGAAGACTGTAGGATGGAGTTGTAACAGCTCAAGTGGTATAGAACTTCTATAATTATGTATAACATAGATACGGCGTAGACCCTGATTGATTTTTTTTTAAAATAAAATCAGACACAAACTCCCCACCAGTTTTCTAGTTTCTTACTAGTAATCTCAGGCTGCTTTCCACAAAACTATTAGCAAGCTGAAAATCTTATTAAAATCTATATTAATTCAAGAAGGGAAAGCTATTTAAAGAATGAGAACAAGTGAAGCTTTGCAGTCAGTAGCAGGAAAATGGAAGAAGATTTTGCACTGGCTGAATGTGTTTTCATCTCATTGCTTTTATTACAACCGTCTTTTATCAGGAGGATATGCAAATAAAGGATATCTGTCTCCATTTCTTTATAGGCCATTTGTTTAGAAAGAGTGTAAGATATTAAATATTTGAGAATAAAACCTGGCCAGTAGAAAGAATGTGATTCTGACACGCCATCTCCTCACCCACAGTCACATTCCCATCATCTCATCCTAAAGATATGTAATTAAAATTATAGTTCTATATAATTTTAATCATAATCCTAGAACTGCAGCACTGGATGGGACCCTATGGATCATTGAGTCCACCCCTGTCAAGGAGGCACAAGTGGAGAATCAAACTCCCAACTTTTGGCTCTGCAACCAGATACATAAACTATTGAGCTATCCAGCAGTTCTTCTGCCTAGCAAGACTGGTCATCTTGCCTTTTAAAATCTCTCTCCTGCTAACTCAAAACGATTTTCTAGCAAAGCCCTACCTGCTTTGTACGGCTTATCCTGTCTGAATCTCTAGAACCACATTCTGCCTGCTTCATTGACTTTTATTTTCTAGTTTATGGGAGTGACAGCTTTCAAAAATCTTAATTTAAGTCCTTTAAAATTTATAGACTGGAAAACTTTCTAATCCTTTCCATAGGGCAGTCTTTGTACCACAGAGCTGTCAGTCAACCCCAGCTGCCCACAAAAAAGCTGTGATATAATCTTAATACAAAATAAAATGCCTACAGTAGGTTGGGACAAGAATTGACACATTCAGCCTACATTTATTCATATATTAACAGAAGCAGTTCAGGAGTAATTCTGTTTTATACTTATCCTTTTGAATGGAAGGAAATAAACCATATCCATGAGACATGTCAACCTGGTTACAGCCCGTAACGTTTTTACATCTCATGCTGGTATTAAGAAATAATGTGCAACCAGAGCCTGGAAAATTGCAGCTAAAAAGTAATTAGCTACAATTATAGTTCAAAGGTTAAAAAAAAGGTAGTTAATATTATAGCCATTTTTAAAGCAGCATTTTACTTTCCCAGGTGGCAGCCATGTTAATGTGCTGTCCTAACTCAATGATACATGCCTGGCCTGCCTGCTAGACTCAAAGCCGAGAAGAGAAGGCTTCAGCTGGTGGAGGGAGAGGGATTTGCTAGTAGGGGGAAATAGGGGATTTGTGTGTGCATTTTATTTTGCCATTTTTTTGTGTATGTGTGGATGTATATGATTTCACTGGCTGATTTTTTTAAAAAAATCTTATTTAGTTAATACACTACAATTTTTTATTTTTTTTTTGCTTCTGGGGGCGTTATGTGGGTTGGGAGGTGGACTTTGTGACTGTGTCAGTGTGCCACTGGGCTGCGTGGGCATGTCTCTCTTGCTGTTCTTGGTTCTGGGCAGTTGTTCCTTGTTTTGGTGAGTGAGTGTGCGCCAGAGAGCAAATGCCTAGCTAGCTAGCTGCTTCTTTGCCTTTTTAATATCATGCTGCTGAGGCCCAGAGGTTCTCTACTGTGCTGGTATAGTGGCACGGAACTCATACTATTGTTTTTCCTTCCTTTCTTTCTTTTTAGTGCCTTGGTTCTTTTAGAATTAGATGGTGAGAGACTGAGGGGTTTTTTTGTATAAGTTTTATGTGATTTTTCATTCTCATGTACTACTGCCTACTTTTGGAGTACAGTGGTGCCTCGCATCACAACGTTAATTCGTTCCAGCGAAATCGCTGTAGAACAAAAACGTCGTGATGTGATTTTAAAAAGCCCATAGAAACACATTGAAACCAGATTAATGCGTCCCTAGGGACTTCAAACTCGCCATCCAGAGAAGATCCTCCATAGTGCGGCCATTTTCGCTGCCTATGTAGCGAGGAATCCGTGCGAAGACACAGCGGGTAGCCATTTTGTTTACCCGGTGGCCATTTTGAAACCGCCGATCAGCTGTTAAAAAGTCATCGCTTTGCGATGATCGGTTCCCGAAGCAGGGAACCGATCATCACAAAGCGAAATTCCCCCATAGGGAACATCGTTTTGCGATTGCTTTTGCGATCGCAAAAAGTTGGTCATGATGCGATTTCATCGTCAAACGGAGCGTCCGTCTTGCGGGGCAGCACTCTAGACTGATTCTCTGTTGCCTTGTCTCTTTGGTTTTTTAAGAATAGTTTTTAAAGATTCTTTGGGGCTTTTGGGGTGCCAGAAAACACGAACGGGAAACATATAATGAAGGATCCAAAATTATTTTCCTTTTCATGTAAGACAGAAGGACCAGTGCACAAAAAATACAAAAATGAAAGAGACAACTGCCAAACAACCCAAAATGAAATACATTTGTGTGTACATACACCCCTACCCACACTCCAGCACACAACTGAAGTCAGGGAGAACAATTATCCAGAAAATGAGCAAACAGAATTTATACCTCTGCCTAAGACATATATGGGTAAATCTTAGCCAGTCTGGGATTTTATAATTTTGGCCTTCCTGTGTCACAAGATACGAGAACGGAAGATTCATAAGCCATATACCGCATGAAATATTCAGTAGTATTTTATTTGACTCATCTCTCTGAACTTTGAAAGAATCTACATGGAGGAATTCAGATTGGTAAATGGGTTCAATACCTAGCATGAGCTATCCAAGTGTCCCTAGTAAAACTCAACACCAGTGCTTACTAAGAGTGTATTCATTGCATGTATACACAAGACAGAATTCCAGTGGGGGGAAATCACTACTATAGGGTGACTTGACTTGCAATCAGGAAAAAGGCTCCGTACCTATAATCATATCAGTAGTCTTGCCACCCACTTCTTTGCTTCTGTTGGAATTTGTTGCTGCTTACCTTCTGCTCCAATGGATACCAGCTTCACTCCTTTGCTAGCGATGAAATCTAGGGCTTTGTTCACATTTGAAATTTTGTGCACTCTCATTTTGCCTCTTTCTGGTTTAGCCAAACGTTCACCTAGTAAGAACAAAAATGTGCCACTGTATGAATAGACTTCATTCAATTTCAGTAAATAAATTATACAAAACAGCAGAGGCTAGGAAGCCATCATCACCACAACCATCACCACCACCATCATAATTATTTCACTGTAAAACTGCAACTGCAATCTAAAGAGATTTGTTCATATTTAAAACTACATATGAGAGCCAGTGTGGTGTAGTAAACAGAGTGATGAGCTAGGACTTAGAGACCTGGGTTCAAATCTCTGCTCAGCCATGGGGGATAGTAGTGACAAAACTATTCTTTAAACATCTCATATACCCTGAAAACACAATTAACATTACCAACAGTAAGATGCAAATTGAGGGCACTTTACAACAACATTAGATGCAGTCTCAAGATTGAATTGTTTCAAAAAAAAATTGAGAGAATGGCATATTTGACTGCAGTATTTCCCAGTATGAAAACCCCCTGCACACAGTCAGCTAGCACCTCAAGGAAAAGGCAAAGCTACTGTAACTTTTTCATGCTGACATTTTAACCTTCAATAGCCAGGGAGCTTTGAGTGGGGGAGCATGTTTAAGTATACAGCTCACACTTCTGTTTTGAAATGTTGCAGTTCCATGAAGGCTCTGTTGTATGTTTTTTCCCCCTCACATACGGATTAACCCTAACTGCTAGAGAAATGCGGTGTTTTCTGCTTTCTCATAAAATAAAGGTTCACACCTCTTGTCCTCAACATTTAGATCTCACTGCTTGAAATAATGCACTTGATTGTCTTCCCATTAATGGCATAGAAAGCACACCTCTAGGGACACTGCTGCTAATGCGCATACTGTACACCAAGGTATTGAGGGCCTGCTTCCCACCAGTTTTTTAAAACTAAATTTACATGTACACATATTTTTCCATTCTCCACTTTAAATACAAGAGACCATGTCTCAGGACAAGTGGTCCTAAGTAAAAATACCGTAGAATGGCAAAAATACTTAAATACAGGGACTGTCTAATGTAATGGACCTACTTCTGTTTCAGTACCACTGTTATCTTTGATTTTCTTCTATTCCTTCTCCTTTCGTTTCAAAATACTGCATGCCCAGCTTTTGTAGTTTTGTGTTTACTTTGAATTGCTGCCAACAGCAACTAAAACTGAAGTTAAGAGAGACAGAACAACAGTCCCATTTACTTCTGACAAGCCCCTATTGACTCTCCTTCTGTGCTCATGGTAGTTTTCACCACACGATGCCGCAACAAAGTGGGTGCTTGTCCTCCACTTTCAAAAGGCATCCCAGACACAGGCCAAGAGTAACATATGTGATCTCATATTGCTAAAGAGCAAAGAGAAGGTTTCCAGGCTGCTTTTTTCTTCTAAAAAAAGAGAAAGCCATTGTAGCATTGAAAGGCTCAAGAATACCCTGGCCCTGTTTACATGAGTGCCAAAAATGCAGCAGGCAACTTTTCTAAGATATGCTCACTGTGTTCAACAAGATATAAACTCTCAAGGAGCAGTATAGTTTAAGTACGCGCACACGCCAAAAATACAACACCAAGGAGTTTACATTGGGTGGGTACATGCCATGTCCCTCTAAACTGGAACATCCAGACCCTGCTTCATTCATTCACCCTTGTTCTATCATGGTCTCTGCAGTGCTTCCTCTTGGCTTTCAGCTCCTACTGTATGTATGCATGAGTGAGCACTTCACCAACAAGATAAACAAGACAAAAATAAAGTATGCGAGTGACTCAACTCAGCTAGTTTCTGGAAAGCATCAAAGGAAGCCATGAGACAGGGTTGTTCAGTAGCTTGCTTCAAAATTCATTTGGAACCCTACATTATTTGAATCAGCATGGAGAAGAGAGATACCCACTGTTTTTCCCAAAGCCTTTTGTTTTTGAAAGTCAAACAAGCCACAGACACATAAGCACACATGGAAAGCTCCAAAGAAAATACAGAAAAATATTGGGGGCAGGGGGCAACTAAAGAGCTCCTCTCTTTTTCATCCCCTCCCTTGGTTTGGCTAACACAGTTGACAAACCTCACACCCAGAGCTTGGAAATAACAGGAGGATTCTTGTAACGTCATTGTTTTGAAAGTGAAAATAAAACACCAAAATGTTAAAACTATTCTCTAGATCAGGGGTCAGGGAACTTTTTTTCCTTTTACCCCCCCCCCCAAAAATTTATATACACCGACATTACCCCCTTGATTTGAAAGGAAGGAAATCATACATTATTTGAATTAAAAATATTATTGAATCTATACAGGCTGTGTACCGAACCAGCAGGATGCACCAAATTTGATAAAGATGTGCACTATTTTTGCTGGAACACGTTGCACTCCAGCCATGGTGTGATATAGGGAGTAGTAAGGTGTCCAACGTGCCTAGCAAGTTGCATTACATTTTTGCTAGCTCGCAGAGGATTTAATCATCATCAGTGGCTGCCAGAGTGGTGCTAGCAATGACATGCTTGCTAGAGACAGCCAACGCAGAATGGGGGGGGGGG